CAACACCTCGAAGACCCGCGCGTGCGCCAGCCCCGCCTTCGCGAAGGACCAGGCCGTGTTCGAGATGTTCTGGGGCGTGAAGGCCTCGGCGCGGTGGATGGCCGCGTCGCCCAGCTTCTCGAACATGGCGGGGGCCTTCGCGCCTAATTTCGCAAAGGCCCACAGCGTGTTCGCGAGCTCCTGCGGGTTGAAGTCGCGCGCCATCTGCTCCGCCTCCTTCGCGATGGCCTCGAAGAGCTTGGGCTCGACGCAGCCCGCGGTCGCGAAGGCCCAGGCCGTGTTCGACAGTTCCTGCGTGTTGAACTCGTGGCAGCGCTGGCTACTCGCGCGCGCGATCGTGCTCAGCGCCGCGAGCTCCTCGCGGACGGTCGCGTCCTGGCGCGCGGCCGCGGGGTCGAGCTTCGCCAACGCATGAGCCATGTTCGCGAGCTGGCGCGGCCCCGCCCAGGTCGCGTCGTCGCAGATCTTGCCCCGGAGCAGGCGCAGCATGTCCTTGAACTCGTACGAGATGCGCACGCGCTGGATGAGCACGGCGTCGTGCGCGACGGATCTACCTAGACGGCTAAAGGCCGTCGCCAGGTTGACGCCGTTGAGCGCGCCGTACTCGTTCCAGATGCGGAAGACGTCGGCCATGGAGGAGCACTTGGAGTACATCTGGTTGAGCTCGATCTCGAAGCGCGGCGGGAAGCTCCCGTCGGCGTTGAGCCGCGTCGCCCAGCCCGCGGGCCGCGCGCGGCCGTCGCCCGGGCCCCGGGGCTTGCCCATGGCGCCGCCGCTGCTCGAGTCGCCCGAGGCCCGCGCCTGCGTGCCGTGGCCGCCGCCGGGCGCGCGGAAGCCGCGCGCGTCGAACTCGCCGCGCGGCGCCGGCGGCGGCTCGCGGCCCGGCGGCACGCCGTAGCCGTAGGCGCCCGCGGACCGCCGCGCCGCCTCCTCGGCCGACGGCGGCGGCGCGCCGGGCGCGTACCCAAAGGGCGGCGGCGCCGCGCCGGGCGGCGCCGCGGGCTGCTGCAGGTGCTCGGGCCGCGGCGCGTACATGCGGTTCTCCACGCGCGGCGGCGCCGGCGGCTCCGGCGGCCCGGGCGGCGGCGCGCCGGGCGGCGGCGCGGGCGGCGGCGGCGTGAAGCCGGGGATGGCCACGTCGGGGTCGAGGCGCACGGGCGCGGGCCGCTCCCACGCCGCGGGCTCGGCCGCGGCCGCGTTCGCGGCCGCGGGCAGGTCCCACGAGTTCAGCGGCGGCGGCGGCGGCGGCGCGCTGCCCGGCGGCGGCGGCGGCGGGTACCACTCCGCGCAGTCGTTGGGGTGCGGGTTCTTCTTCTTCTCCGCGAGGCGCGAGGCGCGCGAGGCGATTTCGCGGGCGTCCATTTTGTTTGGTCGCGGTCGAGCGCTGAGGTTTTCGGCGGCGTCGCTCGCGTCGGTCGACGGCGCAGACGGCGAGCGCGAGGCGGGGCTCTGCGCGACGGCTGTCGGGCGCACAGTGGCGTTCGGTCGGCGCGGCACGAGACGGCGAGGTCCAAGTGCTCGAGTTGGCCGCGGAAGCTCGTCTGCACGATGCCGGCGATGCATGCAACGCCGTCCTACTCAAGTAGGAGCCCGAAACCGCAGCGCGCCGTCGCAGCGCGCCGACGCAATGCCAAGCATGAGCCACCGCCAGCATAGGAAGTTGGAGGAAGCCATCCAGGCACTATGCTACCATAAAGTCGACAGGACCAAAACCGATCGGAGATCGCGCAAAACGAACGCGGCTTTTTTCCAGACCCTCTTGGACTGTGCGCAAGCAGGGCTGGCGGTTGCAGCGTTCAACGCGGCTGAAGTCTGCTACAACGGCGCCCCCGGCGTCGACGAGGACCTCGCCAAGGCAATCGACCTCTATGTCCGCGCCTTCGAGACGGTAACCGCCGGCGAGCGAGACGCGGACCTACGACAATCTTCGAAGCTCACCAACAACCTCCTTAGCCTGATCCAGGATGTGATGCTCCCCGCCCTGCCGGAGAACCTTGTCACGCGTCTTGCAAGCGCGCGCAAGACGAATCCGGTCTACGCAAGCGACAGCGATTTCTGCTGCCAACTCGACCTTGTGCGCTGCATGTTGCGCGGGCGCCGCCACTACCTTCTCTCTGAACGCGTTCCGGCGGCGAAAGTCTACCAGAAGGCCTCGAACGTCGCCGTCAAAGATCCGCTCCTCCAGCAGTACTGCCTGAAAGCTCGCCGCATAGTAGACATGATGCAGAACACGGAGGGCGGGGGAGGCAAAGAGGGCATGGAGAAAATTGACGCCGCGTACGACATCGAATGTCAAAAGAATCATGCAGCCATCGCTAATCATCCCGCAGCCGCGACCTTCGACTTTGAGCAAAAGCGCTCCGACGACTTTCGCGAACGCCATTGCAGCGCGTCGCTCAAGGACGTTCACGGAGAAAGACGAGACCGGGCCATGGAAGCGGTCCGGAAGCTTGCGAAGGAATCGGGCGTGGATGAGGCGAACATCTCGTTTTCAGAGGGGCGGCAGGTCCGTCGGGTCTGCGCCGCGTGCGGGAAGGGATACCTGCAGATCAGCGCCGCCGGGCTCAACGACTGCGCCCGCTGCAAGAAAGTCTGCTACTGCGACGCCTCCTGCCAGCGCGCGCACTGGAAGGAGCACAAGAAGCAGTGCCGAGCACCAGTGTAATACGAGCAGGATACTACCCGCGTAGCCTCCCGCCAACGGAGCTCTCAAGTAGCAACTTGGCTGCATCATGACGTCAATGCTTTGAGTCGGGTTATGGCTTCAGATTTTGAATGCTGCTAGCCGCTCGTATCGTTCATCGACGCGCCCTCCACCCTGCGCGGCCGGGCCTGCTACGAAGCGCAGCACAGATGGGCAAGCGCAAGCGCTACGTCGTGACGCGCGGCCGCCAGACGGGCA